AACGGTAAAAGCCTATTAGACTGTACGCCCGGATGTTCTATTCTAGATGTCCGCCATGAACGGTAAAAGCCTATTAGACTGTACGCCCGGATGTTCTATTCTAGATGTCCGCCATGAACGGTAAAAGCCTATTAGACTGTACGCCCAGATGTTCTGTTCTAGATGTCCGCCATGAACGGTAAAAGCCTATTAGACTGTACGCCCGGATGTTCTATTCTAGGTTTCCGCCATGAACGGTAAAAGCCTATTAGACTGTACGCCCGGATGTTCCATTCTAGATGTCCGCCATTAACGGTAAAAGCCTATTAGACTGTACGCCCGGATGTTCTATTCTAGATGTCCGCCATGAACGGTAAAAGCCTATTAGACTGTACGCCCGGATGTTCTATTCTAGATGTCCGCCATGAACGGTAAAAGCCTATTAGACTGTAAGCCCGGATGTTCTATTCTAGATGTCCGCCATGAACGGTAAAAGCCTATTAGACTGTACGCCCAGATGTTCTATTCTAGATGTCCGCCATGAACGGTAAAAGTCTATTAGACGAAGCTATGTTGTTTTTTTTAAAAACGTATTTCCTATTTCACCATGAAGTTTGTATTTAATTTTATATTCTTGGCTTTGGGAAAGTTAATTAAATTGCTTAAAGATTTAAAAAATAAATTACTCAGAATCCAACTTAGTCTAAAGAGAATTTGTTTTTTTATCCATTGATATAAGATACTTGACTTAACAAACATTTACACAAATTTAAGATTTGGAAACGGAAGCGAGAGTTATATAATTCCACATTATGCAACTTAAATAATATATTTATATTTGGTACTTTTCAAAACTCTATTTCTTTAAATTTTGTCATGTTATCTTGTAGCTGCAGCGAGATCGTCAATCATACATTTCAACCTTAGGCGAATCAGAGAGTATGTAGTCACTAGTTAGTTAATTAGAGAGTATGAAGTATTAAGTTAGTTAATGATCGTATGTAGTCACTATTTAATTAATTAGGACGTATGCAGTCACAAATTAATTAATTAGAAAGTAAGCAGTCACAAGTTAATTAATTAGAGAGTATGCAATCACACATTAATTAATTAGAGAGTAAGCAGTCACAAGTTAATTAATTAGAGAGTGTGCAATCACAAGTTAATTATTTAGAGAGTATGCAGTCACAAGTTAATTAATTAGAAAGTATGCAGTCACAAGTTAGTTAATTAGAGAGTACGCAGTCACAAGTTAGTTAATTAGAGAGTATGCAGTCACAAGTTAATTAATTATAAAGTATGCAGTCACAAGTTAATTAATAAGAGAGTATGCAATCACTAGTTAATTATTTAGAGAGTATGCAGTCACACGTTAATTAATTAGAAAGTATGCAGTCACAAGTAAGTTAATTAGAGAGTATGCAGTCACAAGTTAATTAATTATAAAGTATGCAGTCACAAGTTAGTTAATTAGAGAGTACGCAGTCACAAGTTAGTTAATTAGAGAGTATGCAGTCACAAGTTAATTAATTAGAGAGTATGCAGTCACAAGTTAATTAATTAGAGAGTATGCAGTCACACGTTAATTAATTAGAGAGTATGCAGTCACAAGTTAATTATTTAAAGAGATACAATCACAAGTTAATTAATTAGAGAGTGTGCAATCACAGATTAATTAATTAGAGAGTACGCAGTCCCACGTTAGTTCACCAACAATAAATTGAGTTATGTATATTCTAACAAAAGAAATGACACCTTTGAATTGAATGAATTATGTCATAGTTGTGGTCGGTGGCATCATTTTCAACGCAGAAAAACCTTAAACGCTTTTTAACATTAAGAGTTCACAATGAGAATAATACAGTTATAAACATCTTGTAACACACAAGTTATAATTTTCTTTGTTTTTTTTTTTTCCGAAAAAATAATAAGAAGTAATTTCGATGTATTAAAAAAAAAATTACATAAACTTTCTTACAGTTTTTCAATACCTTGACAATTTTGTGTGTGAGGTGTCTTAGTTCAACAGGAGGTGTTCATTGCTTTTTTTCAGTCTTTGAGCTTTCTTTTATATCGATGTGAATGTGAGGGATAATCACCGTACTAGATCGAGGCCATCACAGCCGAGATAACGCAAACAATAGAAATGGTCGAATCACTTTGATAGCCTATATTGCTCAATTTTCATACCTGCAGTAGCTAGTGCTACACGTGGTCTGTGGGATGTCAGGATGTGGGATGTCAGGAAGTGAGGTGTCAGGACGTGGGATGTGAGTTTGGGATGTCAGGATGTGAGGTTTCAGGACGTGGGATGTGAGTGTGGGATGTCAGGATGTGGGATGTCAGGATGTGAGGTGTCAGGAAGTGGGATGTGAATGTGTGATGTCAGGATGTGGATGTCAGGATGTGAGGTGTCAGGACGTGGGATGTGAGTGTGGGATGTCAGGATGTTGGATGTGAGGTGTCAGGACATGGGATGTGAGTGTGGGATGTCAGGATGTGAGGTGTCAGGAAGTGGGATGTGAGTGTGGGATGTCAGGATGTGGGGTGTGAGGTGTCAGGACATGGGGTGTGAGTGTGGGATGTCAGGATGTCAGGATGTGAGGTGTCAGGACGTGGGATGTGAGTGTGGGATGTCAGAATGTGGGATGTCAGGATGTGAGGTGTCAGGACGTGGGATGTGAGTGTGTGATGTCAGGATGTGGATGTCAGGATGTGAGGTGTCAGGACGTGGGATGTGAGTGTGTGATGTCAGGATGTGGATGTCAGGATGTGAGGTGTCAGGACGTGGGATGTGAGTGTGGGATGTTAGGATGTGGATGTGGGATCCGTCCATGAATTGGGGGAAGGGCGTGAATATTTTTTCAAATATAAAAAAAAAAAAATAATTAAATAAACGAATGTGACTTTTTTAATGTGCTGATTATTCTTGCTAATATTTTGATGTGTAGCGCGGTGAGCCCAGGCCTAGGCTGTAGTACCACGCTCTATAAAGACCACCGAAATAATAATAATAATGTCAGGTTGTGGGAAGTCAGGATGTGGGAATCAATATTTTTTGGACAGGTCGGATTTTTAGAACACGTCAATTTACGAGGGGGGGGGGGGGATCGCTTTAGATTTAAAATCTTTGGGAAGCTTGGTTAATCCATTATAATGTTTGGGAAGCTTGGTTAATCCATTATAATGTTTGGGAAGCTTGGTTAATCCATTACAATGTTTGGGAAACCTGGTTAATCCATTACAACGTGTTTCTTTAAAAACATGACACATCATCTTCTAGTTTCCAGCTTGTTTAATCACAGGCGTGATCTATAATCAAAGTCGTACGATACAATGAATCACTTGAGCTCTGGTTTAAAATGATATCGATTTCAGAGGTTCTCAAAGCAGGGATCCAAATTATTAAAATTTTGTTAAGAGTATTATGTATTTATTATTTCAAAATAACAGACCAATATACGGTGTGAGTGGGGCAACCTTGAACTGGGTGACCATGAACTTAGAAAAAAAAGGGGGGGGGGGTACAACAACAAAATAAAGCCAACGGGAATTTTTTTCGGTTTCTAATCATGATTTTTAAAATGATATTTAAATGATTTTTAAACTGATCTTTTAAATGATTTTTTAAATCATTTCATTTATTTTTTGGTTGGTGCCTTTGGCACCCCCCCCCCCTGGAAAATACCAGGATCGCCGCAAAAAACAACAAAACGAAACGATTATAAAGTGACTCCTTTCGAAGGTTCTCATAATCTCGAGATCCTCTCTTGTGTGGTCTGGTATTATAGTATCATTTTTATCGCAAGTAGAGATTTTTTGTGTGTGTGTGGGAGGGGGAGGGCAATTAAAATATAGCAACCGCTCACTGCACTGCAGTAGATTAAAAAAAAAATCAAACCACCTTTGACAAATTATAAATCTAGGTATTAATCTTAAGGGTCACCTTATTTGGACATTCCCTTCATGGGGCGTAACAAAACTTAACGGATAAGCCCAGGGCGGTGGCGATTGAAGGAGAAAGGTTTGTTTGTTTGTTTTTTTTTAAAGCACTCGATACAAGGAAATTTATGTTGATCTGCCGGCACCACCCTGGAGAATTTTGTATAGAATGTGAACAACAGACAGAAGAAAAAGACTTATGTTGATCTGCAGGCACCACCCTGGAGAAGTTTGTATAGAATGTGAACAACAGACAGAAGAAAAAGACTTATGTTGATCTGCCGGCACCACCCTGGAGAAGTTTGTATGGGATGTGAACAACAGACAGAAGAAAAAGACTTATGTTGATCTGCCGACACCACCCTGGAGAAGTTTGTATGGGATGTGAACAACAGACAGAAGAAAAAGACTTATGTTGATCTGCCGACACCACCCTGGAGAAGTTTGTATAGAATGTGAACAACAGACAGAAGAAAAAGAAGAAATCTGAATACATTGGACCACCTTCTAGAATTGTGGCCTGCAAAACGTCAGGATCTTTTGCTGGGGCGTCATTTCAGGTCTTTTTCAAAGAGGGGGAGGGGGGAACCAAAACTTGATCGGCTTGTTAAGTTGTGTATAGCTTGAGGCGCCACAGTACATTTAAACAAACCTGGACATTTGGACAGGGGAGGGCGGGGAAAGGGGGCAAATGCCCCACCCCGCCCTACTAAAATGACGCCCCTTATCTTTTGACGTCAGTTTTTAGACACCGGGTATTTGTGATTAGCACTCCCCTAATTCTTTGACCGCACTTGTCGCGTCTTACATGCGTCTTGTTATCAGTGTAATGATACGACTGTGTACCAGTGACCTATGTCTGATCTGATAAGTGCCTTAATGTGGGTTGATACCGGTACAAGTTTTCCTAAATATTAGGCAATACCACGTAAAGCAATTGCGTGAAAAGATCTTTTTAATCATTGAATGCAATCGAACAGCGTGAAATGTGGGAATAAAACAGTAGCATCTGAAGTTGGCATTTTACACAGTGGCATATGAAGTTGGCATTTTACATAGCAGCATATGAAGTTGGCATTTTACATAGTAGCTTATAAGTTGGCATTTTACATAGTGGCATATGAAGTTGGTATTTTACATAGCAGCATATGAAGTTGGCATTTTACATAGTAGCATATGAAGCTGGCATTTTACATAGTAGCATATGAAGGTGGCATTTTACATAGTAGCATATGAAGGTGGCATTTCACATAGTAGCATACTTATTAGACATCAGCAAAAGAAGGTTGCAGTACTCGAAGTGGCATGTTTATTGGATGTCAACAAATGAAGTTGGCATTGTACATAGTAACAAATGAAGGTGACAGTCTCAATAGTAGCATAAGACGAGGGTATTGTAATAGTGGACTATTAAGGTGGCATTGTACATAGTAACAAATGAAGGTGACGGTCTCAATAGTAGCATAAGACGAGGGTATTGTAATAGTGGACTATTAAGCGGGCATTGCACATTTTGGAATGACTCTTGGACAGCCGAAACTGACGGTTATTAGGGCAGAGACTAAGATTGTCTGGCCCCCGGGCGCCACCAGCTTGAGCTAGGTAGAGGCGTTGACACCACTTGTTGATGAGATTACCTAAAGAAAAAAAAGTTTCTATCATTCCGGAATATCCGCAATGCTTGGTATTTAGAATGCGACAGAAGACGCGAGGAGTGTTTTTTTTTTCTTTCCTTCAAAACATTTTTATTCGAGGAAGCGGGGGAGGGGGGGGGGGGGGGGGTGGGGGCAAAAATAAAATTTGCGAAAAATAGCGCCCATAGCCAACGGAGTGTCCCTGCCAAACATCAACTAATTTTATGTTTTTTTTTTTTTTTTTTTTTTTTTTTTTTTTTTTTTTGGGGGGGGGGGGGGGGGGGGGGGGGTGGTTGGTGGGGGCAAAAATAAAATTTGCGCAAAATAGCGCCCATAGCCAACTGAGTGTCCCTGCCAAACATCAACTAATTTTATGTTGTACGTGGCGCCCCTTGAGGTATGCTTTGTGTCCTCAGCTTCGTCACGCCTCTGGGACTTACATATCTTATATACATTCATCTTATCTTATCTTAAATTATTTTATTTTAAAAATAAGATAGCTTTTTAAAAAAACAATTGTGTCCATACTTGATCACAGGAATTAAGTTATCACTCCGTCTATCCTGTTTTTTTTTGTTAGCACATTGTTTAATGAGGTTGTCTCATGTAGCGGGAATTTTACATAATGTCATAAACAGTTTGGTTTGGCTGCGTCCCCTTCATCAGTTTTATTTTGGTTGCGTCCCGTTATCGTAAAATTTGCGAGCCAAGACAAACAAAAGCAAACACAAGTTATCACGTGATTTCCAGTGTATGTTTAATTGTTTGGTGCTGAACAAACTGTCATTCCCCCCAGATATATATATATATATATATATATATATATATATATATATATATATATAGAAAATATCAGAGCTAACTACAGAAAATATCAGAGCTAACTACAGAAAATATCAGAGCTAACTACAGAAAATATCAGAGCTAACTACAGAAAATATCAGAGCTAAGAGTATTCATTTGTAATTTGGCACTTATAATTGAAAGAACCAATGTTGTAGTTGAGTCGCTCCACCATGGAGTTTCTCTCAACACAATGTTATCCTTTAAAACATATCATGCCGATATAACTTATTAGCAAAAAAAAACTCAAACTGTGTTTTAATGACATTTCAAAAAAGCGATATCCAACAAATGCATCCAAATGTCAAAGTTACATTCTAAAATATGATTTGTTATATTCTTAGAGATATATATTTTATCAACAATAATATTTGTAACTGTGAAATAGTTAACTTAACACCCCCCCCCCCCCCCAAAAAAAAAAAAAAAAAAAAAAAAAAAAAAAAAACCAGGGACGAAGCACCGCAGGCAACATGTTTCAGTTTGTTGAACTCGTCGTCGGTGCAAGCCAGGGACTTGACTAGACAGTCGTAGACAGACACGCCTTGATCGCTGTAGTTCATCACATCGCAGTATTTTTCTTGAGCCATGAGCTTCTGTGCCCCAGGCGACGCTTGCAGACATGCTGCGATGGCGAACTTGCACTTGTCCGAGCAGGATTCGATGGCTTGTTGAAAGGCCCTGCTCTTGGCGTCAGGCGTGGGAGCCGGATCAGCCAGCGCCATCACGGCGAGATGTTCGAAGAGGAAGAGCACCGTGAGTGCCAGGGCGAGGTTTGTGGGTTGTCTGCCCATTGTGTAGGTCGGAAGTGATGCTCGTTGCTACCTAGCGAGAAATGAGAAGAAACTAAAAAAAAAACCAAAAAAAAAACCAAACAATCCCACTCACTAAACATTATTAAAACTTATTTGCATTTAAGCTTACACGTTGTTTGTATCCAAACATAGAATGATGTTGTTTGTATCCAAACATAGAAGGATGTTGTTTGTATCCAAACATAGAAGGATGTTGTTTGTATCCAAACATAGAAGGATGTTGTTTGTATCCAAACATAGAAGGATGCTGTTTGTATCCAAACATAGAAGGATGCTGTTTGTAGCCAAACATAGAAGGATGTTGTTTGTATCCAGACATAGAAGGATGCTGTTTGTATCCAAACATAGAAGGATGCTGTTTGTATCCAAACATAGAAGCATGCTGTTTGTAGCCAAACATAGAAGGATGTTGTTTGTATCCAAACATAGAAGGATGCTGTTTGTATCCAAACATAGAAGGATGCTGTTTGTATCCAAACATAGAAGGATGCTGTTTGTATCCAAACATAGAAGGATGCTGTTTGCATCCAAACATAGAAGGATGCTGTTTGTAGCCAAACATAGAAGGATGTTGTTTGTATCCAAACATAGAAGGATGCTGTTTGTAGCCAAACATAGAAGGATGCTGTTTGTATCCAAACATAGAAGGATGCTGTTTGTAGCCAAACATAGAAGGATGCTGTTTGTAGCCAAACATAGAAGGATGTTGTTTGTATCCAAACATAGAAGGATGCTGTTTGTATCCAAACATAGAAGGATGCTGTTTGTATCCAAACATAGAAGGATGTTGTTTGTATCCAAACATATAAGGATGCTGTTTGTATCCAAACATAGAAGGATGCTGTTTGTATTTAAACATAGAAGGATGCTGTTTGTATCCAAACATAGAAGGATGCTGTTTGTATCCAAACATAGAAGGATGCTGTTTGCATCCAAACATAGAAGGATGCTGTTTGTATCCAAACATAGAAGGATGCTGTTTGTAGCCAAACATAGAAGGATGTTGTTTGTATCTAAACATAGAAGGATGCTGTTTCTTATGGCCTACTATTTCTATATATGTTTGCTACAATTTGACATGGACCAAGTTACAAAAAGAATGACGATTTGTTAAATATTCGACAGTTCTAGGTCCGATTATCAAGTAAGTTTCAGACACAAATATCTTGCCTTTCTCCTGCGTTATTTTAGATTTAAAAAAAAGAATGTTGCCAATTTAACGAACTACAAATAGATGACTAAATCCGTGTGTTAAATTTTCATAATATATTGTGTGCGGCTTATTCATTTCAAGTTTAATTATAAATTACCACGATATCTTGAAACGTCTTTAAAAAGTAAAAAAAAAAATTCAATAATCTGAAATCTAAACGCTTTAAGTTGAACTCGCAGCGTTTGCACGAGGAGTGCAACTACTATATTTTCGTCAATTCTTGTCAAATTTTATTATAAATATCAATTATTAGATACCCATTAATTAAAATAAAACAAACAAACAACAATTTTTAGGGAATCATATTAAAAAAACGCAAAGACGAAGTTTGAAGGTCGATTCGTGACGCGTTTTGTCCAAGTCGGAGAACTGGCTTATTTATGAACATTCAAGACAAAATGCTTCTTTTTGATAATGAGGTAATGGGTAGGTGTTTAAAATATAAAACGAGCCTCTTGCCTATTCAGAGTCCCCCTCTACGCATCAACATATATTATTATTATTACAACTATTTGTATTGTTATGATTGTTTGTTATTATTATTTGATCATTATCATTGTTATGATTATTTAAAAAAAATATTATTATAACTATTATTACTACCATTAATAGTTCTAGTACTATTATCATGACTATTGTTTGAACCTGGTTTTCTACATCAGTTTGTTCAGGTCACGTACACAGCTTGCAGGCAGCAATCTTGTCACGTGACTTAGTTGAATAGCTGCTGCCCATTAGGGCATTACAAATGTGAGTCATTCTTTTGATTTAGCAGATAGAAATGACACTCTTCTATAGTGAAATGACACTTTTCTATTGTGAATGAAACTTTTCTGTTGCGAAATGACACTTTTCCATTGTTAAGATAACAATTTTCTATAGTGAGATGACACTAATCTTTTGTGAAATAACATTTTTCTATTGTGAAATGGCACTTGACTGCTGTGAAAAAACACTTTTCTGTAGTGAAATGACACATTTCAATTGTGAAATTACATTTTTTTAGTGAAATGACACATTTCTATTGGCGTACTTTTATTTTGTTCAATGTTGTACACATGCAATAAGTTGATAAGTTGGTAGGTTGATAAGCTGAGGAGTTGATACGGTTGGCAGCTCGACACCGCTACTTTAGATCAACCCAATGAGTTTAGAAGTTCTCCAATTCATCAATATAATTAAAGAGTACACGGCGCTAAAACAAGGAAGTAACGTAATAATGTATGGATGTATCAACCAGCATCTAACAAGAAGTTTAAGTTTGTGGCTTCATAAAAAACAAAAAACAGAAAAGATTTCAAGTTTCAAATCAACATAGAGGCTCTGACGTTAATTTTCTTTCTTTTTTTTTTGCTCTCAAATGTCTAGATATCTAGTTCGATGAATGGCGCAGATCTAAGATGTAGCTCAGATTTAGCTTTAAATGAGTTTTTAACCTATCAAAATTTAGATTCTTGACTCAACAAATATGTTTTAGCTATTTTGTGAAGTTTCGAAACGGTAGCGGAAAAAAAAAAATAGAATTATTGAAATCTTTTGTACAAGAGCGCAGCCTTATGACGACAAAGAAACCCAGCTCTTTTATTCTAAATGAATGCAAAATGTTAGCTCTGTTCAAACGTGATTTGTCGTTAAACCACTTTCTTATTATCAATTGTCGGTCGCAGTGATACGACTAATTTTTTTTTAATTAGAGAGTATGCGGTGACAGGCTAGTTAATTAGAGAGTATGCGGTGACGGGCTAGTTAATTAGAGAGTATGCGGTGACAGGCTAGTTAATTAGAGAGTATGCGATGACAGGCTAGTTAATTAGAGAGTATGCGGTGACAGGCTAGTTAATTAGAGAGTATGTGGTGACAGGCTAGTTAATTAGAGAGTATGCGGTGACAGGCATAATTTGAATATACATCAAACCTTTTATTTAAATACATTGTTTAAGTCACATTTTTCATGACTCTGTAACAAATCTCTGCGCACTGCCCTTGAGTTGACTCAATTTTAATAATTTAGAACCCCTGTAGATTTTTAAACATGTTTGGACTCTTAAAGTTCACTCCCAATGAAAAGCATTTATAAACATCTTGACATAATTATAAAGTTATCATTTGCTTTCGTGTTTTATCTTATCTTTAAAAAAATAAGCTTTAACTTTTGCCCCAAACCGAAATAATGAATAAAAAAAATATTAAGGTAATTTCTTATTGAACTTCAATACCTGTACGTCTTTCAGAGCTGTCTAAGTCGGCAAGAATTGTTGTCCCTATGTGTCAGTTTGAGTTTTCTTTTTATATCAAATCTCGGGATAGCCCCCCTTACTGAAACGATCCAATCGCATTTCAGATAAGGCAAACAATAGAAATTGTTTAATCATTTTGATAACCTAGATAACGGGTATTCTTTCTTTATTTTTGTGGGAAGACAACAGGATTTTTCATTCGAGTGAGTTGGGATGGGCAACCCATACTTTGTGTCCTTGAAGAACTTAGCAGCAAAACGAAACATTGATGGGATGGAAATGGGATGAACGAAATACTGACATCCTTCTAGTTTTCTAATTATCTTGCAAATAACAGATGTTGATCCTAAATTCATCTGTTACAAAACGTTAATGAGAGAGAAAAGTGATTAATTGTATGAGGGGGTGGGAGGGGGGAATCGAATAATTGAGTGGCCCCCACTAACGCAAAGGTTCACCGGCTGGGCAACAACAGGGATCCGACCTGCCGGCACGGCAGACTAGTTTCAGAAACTCTTGCGCATCTGTTGAATGAATGCCCAGCACAAGATGTTGCAGGGGAGGCCAGCGCGGTGGCAGAATCCTACGGGTTACGACAAAATCATACGGCCCAGCCCAGAAAATAGACCTGGTTGCCAAGTCGTGTTTTCTGAGAGTAGTTGTAATTGAAGGAGTATTTCCTTTTTGCCAGCCTTGTACTCACGAACTCAGAAAATCACTTATTGTTGGTTTAATTGCGTTCTTCACCTATTGTATTGGTTTCTCCAGATTTAGCTATCAAAATATTTTTTTTTAAAATATGATTACTGGCGTAAGAAAGGTGGGCTTTAGGGGGCGGTAAGCCCTGCTAAACCTTTTTTTTTACATACAGGGGCAGCATTTTCAGTCAAATGAATAGGTTTTTTCTTGGGAGGAGGGGAGGGGCGGAGGGGCGTAAAAAAATCTTGACCGATGTATCGTTAAAAAAACAAGACACCGTGGGTCATAAAAAGACAGTGAGCAGCGCATCATGACAGACAGAATGTGTTGCATCATTAGAAGACAGGACCCAATGCACCAGGACCAGACGGGAAGAAGAGTATCAAGACAGACAGAACGTGTTGCATCATTAGAAGACAGGACCCAATGCACCAAGACCAGACTGGGATAAGAGTATCATGACAGACAGATCGTGTTGTATCATTAGAAGACAGGACCCAATGCACCAAGACCAGACGGGAATAAGAGTAGCATGACAGACAGAACGTGTTGTATCATTAGAAGACAGGACCCAATGCACCAAGACCAGATGGAAATAAGAGTATCATGACAGACAGAACGTGTTGTATCATTAGAAGACAGGACCCAATGCACCAAGACCAGACGGGAATAAGAGTATCAAGACAGACAGAACGTGTTGTATCATTAGAAGACAGGACCCAATGCACCAAGACCAGACGGGAATAAGAGTATCAAGACAGACAGAACGTATTGTATCATTAGAAGACAGGACCCAATGCACCAAGACCAGACGGGGATAAGAGTATCAAGACAGACAGAACGTGTTGTATCATTAGAAGACAGGACCCACTGCACCAAGACCAGACGGGCGTAACTGTATCAAGACACGACACATCACAAGACAGGACACAGAGTGTAAGGATGAGGGAGGCCTCAGAGTATCAAGACACGACACATCACAAGACAGGACACAGAGTGTAAGGATGAGGGAGGCCTCAGAGTATCAAGACACGACACATCACAAGACAGGACACAGAGTGTAAGGATGAGGGAGGCCTCAGAGTATCAAGACACGACACATCACAAGACAGGACACAGAGTGTAAGGATGAGGGAGGCCTCAGAGTATCAAGACACGACACATCACAAGACAGGACACAGAGTGTAAGGATGAGGGAGGCCTCAGAGTATCAAGACACGACACATCACAAGACAGGACACAGAGTGTAAGGATGAGGGAGGCCTCAGAGTATCAAGACACGACACATCACAAGACAGGACACAGAGTGTAAGGACGAGGGAGGCCTCAGAGTATCAAGACACGACACATCACAAGACAGGACACAGAGTGTAAGGACGAGGGAGGCCTCAGAGTATCAAGTTAATTCTTAGAATTTTTTTTTACTTCCATTTTCCAGCTCTCGCACTGAGAAGTATGGTGAAATCTGTTTTATTTTCGCTTAGTTCTCAACTGAACCTAACCCTTACCCTAAACCTAACCCTAACCCGGAGACCAATGACTCAATTGTTAACTTCAAAACTGCAGGATCTCTCGTCGCACAGGTCTAGATCAGTTGTTCTCAACCTTCCTAATGCTGCGACCCTTTAATATAGTTCCTCTGGTCGTAGTGACCACCATCCACTCAATTTTTTTCTTAGCTACTTCATAACTGTGGAGTATATGTGTTTTCCGAAAGTATTAGGCAGCCCCTGCTAAGGGCTCGTTTGACACCCACCCCAAGGGGTCGCGACCCACAGGTTGAGAACCGCTGGTCTACATGTTCCTGATTAGCACTCCTGAATTCCTTGATTGTCATTGTGGATTCTGTACACACACATATTTATCATTGAAATGATACGATTATTTCACAGTGAACTACCCACCCACTGCTTGATTTAGACAGTGGTCCCCAAGCTATTCTATAATCCATACCCCATTGAAACAATGTTCTCCAACCTTTTGAATAATGCACATCCCAGTGAAACAGTGGTCCTCAACCTTTTCAATACTCCGCAACCCCCGAATAAAAAAATGTTACTAAGTCTAGCACCCAGCCGCCCCCCCCCCACCTTATTTTTTTAGCAAAATGTAACAATCCATTTTTAAATGGGAAAGTAACAATGTTACGACCCCCACAGTGATGCCCCTACGGTTGATGGCGCCCCGGGAAAGCTTACATTTGGCGCCCCTTTGAAGTATGATCATAAAAATGTGTGCAAGTGCAAGGAAAAATGTGTGCAAGTGCAAGGAAAAATGTGTGCAAGGGCAAGGAAAAATGTGTGCAAGTGCAAGGAAAAATGTGTGCAAGGGCAAGGAAAAATGTGTGCAAGTGCAAGGAAAAATGTGTGCAAGTGCAAGGAAAAATGTGTGCAAGTGCAAGGAAAAATGTGTGCAAGTGCAAGGAAAAATGTGTGCAAGTGCAAGGAAAAATGTGTGGCAAGGAAAAATGTGTGCAAGTGCAAGGAAAAATGTGTGCAAGTGCAAGGAAAAATGTGTGCAAGTGCAAGGAAAAATGTGTGCAAGTGCAAGGAAAAATGTGTGCAAGTGCAAGGAAAAATGTGTGGATTAGGTAATGAGTTTATTACCTAGGTTAAAAAAAAACCAACAACAAATAATGAACAATAATATTGATTTTCTCAACTTGTAATGTGACAGAATGAACAATTAACCTACCGTGGGCAGTATGAACAATTAGCCTACCATGGCCAGTATGAACAATTAGCCTGCCGTGGGCAGTATGAACAATTAGCCTGCCGTGGGCAGTATGAACAATTAGCCTGCCGTGGGCAGTATGAACAATTAGCCTACAATTGGCAGTATGAACAATTAGCCTGCCGTTTCCAGTATGAACAATTAGCCTACCATGGGCAGTATGAACAATTAGCCTACCGTGGGCAGTATGATCAATTAGCCTAGCAATGCCATTTTCTTTCTAGCTTTTGGCTCAGGAAATCTTATTACTTCACTTTCTAGTTTTCTTCCATGGCCCCTAAATGCAATCATTTTTCGTATTTTTGGAAGATTGTTGATAGCACAGAATGCCCCCGGGCAACTGCCCCAGTTGCCGGTACCTTGAGCCGGCACTGGATCCCTCAGTAACTTTATTTATTTATCTTAACACGCCCCTGTTATTACGGTACGCCTCTAATAGTTTTGTACGCCTCTGACTAATTTTCAAACCCTACTAACGTTCCGTAAATAGACTCACGGATTACCTTCCCAACTGTATCTATCCAGGTTATAGATCAGGCTATTTGAAAGCTGTGGTGTAATGGCTCTCCTTGGCTTCCTGTGTCATGCTCATCCCGTGAATCAAGCCCCGCAGTGGCGACGTCAGAATGACCCGACTGAACTGATCCCACCCACCTTCATGCTTTGTTGGTTGGGCTTCTCCTGTCAAAAGCGCATCTGTAATCACTTGTATAAATGTTCGTTCCCCGATGGGATACCGACCCCGGTGGGATACCGATCCCGATGGGATACCGATCCCGATGGGATACCGATCCCGGTGGAATCCCAATCGGATCCCGTTTACCCATTGTTGGTAGAACATCCGTGGTCAGAACTTGCTGTAGTGCCCTGTTGTCCCCGTGGTCAGAACTTGCTGTAGTGCCCTGTTGTCCCCGTGGTCAGAACTTGCTGTAGTGCCCTGTTGTCCCCGTGGTCAGAACTTGCTGTAGTGCCCTGTTGTCCCGTGGTCAGAACTTGCTGTAGTGCCCTGTTGTCCCCGTGGTCAGAACTTGCTGTAGTGCCCTGTTGTCCCCGTGGTCAGAACTTGCTGTAGTGCCCTGTTGTCCCCGTGGTCAGAACTTGCTGTAGTGGGGGGGAGGGGGTTTGGGGGTGGGGGTTGGGTTGGGGGAATCCCCCATATGTATTGCTACACCGAAGTAATCCCTTCAGAGTCCGCCCGTGTGGGTCCTTGGCCATTGCTACTCCCTAACTGTTGCACCCTAGCTTCCCACCTATGACCAGATACACAACAGCGAGGTAGCACGAGCCGCCCAAACAGGTTTGGCATGCTAAGCGGGCGGGAAAAGGATGCTGTACTTTGACTTTAGCCACAAGGCCCTGAAGCGATCGTTGCTGGTAGTTGCTGGTAGTTGCTGGTAGTTGCTGGTAGTTGCTGGTAATTGCTGGTAGTTGCTGGCAGTTGCTGGCAGTTGCTGGCAGTTGCTGGCAGTTGCTGGCAGTTGCTGGCAGTTGCTGGCAGATGCTGGTAGTTGCTGGTAGTTGCTGGTAGTTGCTGGTAGTTGCTCGTATTTTGAAAGTTTATAATGCCTAAAAAGGTTTCTGTCAACCCCTCAG